TCCGGCCTCCGGCCGTCGGGGTGATCTTACACTGACACACCGCGTACTTATGGGATAACTATTACAGAAAAATTGATACAAACTGATTTCTAGCCGTAAAGACTGTTGTTCTTACCTTTATTTTACGTTTTTAGAGTTGAAAAACGAAAAGGCATAACAGAATACAGTCACTAGTAGTTCCAGTCGCTGAAGTCATAAAGTTATACGTAGTTTATTTTCATTATGAACTTAATTGTTTGAAAAATTCAATATTTGATATAGTTAGAAAGCACAGATTAAAATAGTTTGGAAAACAAAATTTATATAAATTGTGAAAAGAAAAAAAATGATTCTAAATTCCTAAATTTTTATTCATGCTTGTATATCAAAACTTTTCTCATATACATAATGTTTAATCAGCAAGTAATCATATGAATGTAATCTAAATGTAATCTTAAAGTTATCTTGATTATACATGTTTCGTACATTGTAAGCGATTAATTTACGATCATTTGCAATCAGGAATTGCTTAGTTACTGATTACATGTGAGTACATTGGACAATGTTATCGATTACAGCTAATTCAGATTACTGATTACGAGTACGACATGACTGGTCTATACTTGGTACTGGCATGAACATACAGATATTGAGGATTTAAATTTGCTGTTATAAAATTTTTAAATAATTTTAATTAAGGTATGGCTCTGGCTTTGGCTACATTTAAGGTCATTCTGTATCTAATCAGCCTTTCAACATTTGTATTAGGTTTGGATTTTCCAATAGTTTAGTCTCGAGGATCACTGAAGATGTATGTATTGTCGAAATGCGTATCTCGCGCATCAAAATTGGTACCGTTTATGTTATAACTTCCACTATGTCGATACCACTGCTGGTGGACTCCCCATGGTTATAAACAGCCAAGTAACCATGGCATTGGTACTGAAATGAAAATACGGATATTAGACTTTTGAAATTTGCTGTTGTAAAAGTTTTGAAATAATTCTAAATTAAGGAATATATCTCCCTCATTTAGAGCTTTGATTCCTTTCCAGAATTAGTTATTCTTTTAGTTCTTTTTGGTTTTATCAACTCTTCAACGTTTGTATTTTGTTTGTATTTTCTAATATTTTGTCACTGGGCATCACTAAAGAGACAATAAAAGTCAAAATGCGCATCTGTAGCAAGGACTCGGTACTGGCATACAAAACGTATATTGTTGGATCGTTATTTGCTGTTATCAAATTTTGAAGTCATTCTTAATTAAAGAATACTAGAACACACCCGCGAAATCGCGGGCATTTAGAGCGTGGTTGAAAGTATGTAAACTGTTGTAGGATGAATTTTTGTAAAAAATTTCATGACTGGAGAATTTCAGGAAAGGTATCAAAAGTATCTTAAACATGAACTGATGCCAATATAACGTTTTGAATTTTTCATCAGCAGACTTAGGTTTTTGTTATGAACCTAATCATGTAAAAATGGGAGGGCTATAGAAGATATCTAAAGAATTAATATTATGTTCTTATGTGAAAAAGACGTGAGAAATGAAAAAGAGGAAAAACTGAGACAGAATAATCGATATGTTAACCTTTTCAATTTCAGTCACTCGAAACGGATTCCACTAATGAAATCAGATTATTATGTGATATTTGCAAATAAGATTGGAATTATGAATAGAGCCATAATAAAATACTCAATAAACAATGCGATGTATACACAAAACCGTCATATTTTACTGAAATCTGGAAATGGCGTCAGACTTAATAAGGTGTTGACTTTTAAGAAATCAAATTAATTCTAATATGGAGTGCTTATTACGTCATATGAGTAGAGCCATAATAAAATACTCAATAAACCACAACCACTATAAATCGACGACGTCACAATGTGATTTGTGCACAAAAACGCCATATTTTACTGAAATGGCGTCAGAGTTTTCAGTGGGAAACTTTACCATATTGGAATCAAAATAATTCATGCATTCTATAGATTTGTTTTCATTTTCATATGGCCTGGGTCGTTATATTTGTTAATGTTATTCCTTGCTTACGCTCGGGATAAAATTCCAATATAACGACCCAGGCCATGTGAAAATTTTCAACAAATCCATGGTTTGCATGAATTATTTCTTAAATAAAACATGATTATATACCGGTTCCAGGGGTCCCAAGAAATCGGATTTTTATTGCTTCCAGGGACCGAAGGAATGTTTGATACCGGTTCCTGTAGCTCAGGTACCCAAAACATTACAATTCTAATATAACGACCCAGGCCATGTGAAAATTTTCAAAATCTATGGCTTGCATGAATTATTTCTTAAATAAAACAAGATTATGTACCGGTTCCAGGGGTCCCAAGAAATCGTACTTTTATCGCTCCCAGGGATCGAAGGAATGTTTGATACCGGTTCCTGTAGCTCAGGTACCCAAACAATTGTATGTAATCAAGTTAGGAATTAAGGGTTGTTTGCAAATTTACCAAAATTCTGTGTAATTTTAAAACAGGATTAAAGGAAGTCTTGTCTATGACTTAAAAGTCTGTCAGATGACGAAAACAATATCGGGACGCCTTTATTTTCGTTTTCCTCCCGAAATAACCCAAACAGATTAATCATAAGCGAGGATGACAAATGCGACTATGTATGGTACCTATAGGACACAGAGGCATGATGATTAATTTATTGTGGAAGGAAGAGAACCGACACACAAAATGAGGTCTTCTCATTTAAATGTATAGATAGCACTCTCATACATAGTTATGGTTCCTTGTCAAGATATGGCTATGCTTTTTGGTTCGATCATCTCTTCAGCGTTTTTGGTTTCATCAATTATTCAATGTTTTGGAATTACCAGCTTTTCAACGTTTGTATTTTGTTTTAGGTTTTCATATATTTTGGCTACTGCAGGACTGAAGAATATTTATTGTCGAAATGCGCATCTGGTGTTTTATAAATGATACCGATTATGTTATAACTACCACTGTGTCCTCGTATCTATGATGAGTTAATCGATACCACTATGTCGATACCATTGCTGGTGGAATCCCGGAGGGTTTCAGCACTTCGGTACTGGCATGAAAATTTGGATATCGTTGGATTGAAATTTGTTATTGTAAATTTTTGAAATCATTTCAAATTAAGGAATATATATCTCTCCTGTAAAGGTCTGATTCATTATATGAATTAAGCTAAACTTTAGGTTCTTGTTGGTTTGATCAGCTCTCCAACGTTTCTAATTTGTTTAGATTTTCAAATATATTAGCGTCCAGCATCAACGAAAAGTTATTGTCGAAATACGCAACTGGTGCAGTAAAATTGGTACCGTTCATGATATTACTACCTCTGTGTAGATACAACAGCTGTAGCATAAAAAATATAAATTTGCATATATTTTGACTCGAGCATCACTGAATAGATATTTATTGGCGCAGTAAAATTGGTACCGATTATGTTGTGACTAGCGGGTTTTAATAAAAGAGAATTCATCATACCAGTAAGACAGTCCTGTGGATTATACTATATTTATGTAAAAGGTCTTAGTGAATTCAGCATGTAAGAGATTGGACATTGTTTGAATGTGTATTATCATTGAAAATAAAAAGCAACACAAGTTCACAAATCACTACGAGCAAAACTGAAATTTGAGAAACGAGGGTGAACGCATGTGCTCATATAGGGCAACCAAGTTTTGATATGCTAGTGAAATCTGCGGTTTGCTGAATTGGCTATTATCTTTATGTCCTTTCTGGTCATATAGCTCCCCAACTGTTTCGGTTCAATCTTTGGCTTTCAAATATTCGGCTTTGAGCGTTCCTGAGGAATGTAAAGACAGGAAAGCGCTTCGAACGCATAAAACTTATAAAGTGTTGTTTCTGTTTATGTTTTTAGAGTAAAAGAGGTGTATGACAGCAAAGGACCTGAAAAATTTGGAAGTCGAATACAAACTGACAAAACCAGAGAAAAGAGACAATTTTAGTTTCCTATTCTTATCTTTCGTTTTTTGAGAAGTGATGTTTCCTTTTAAAAATCTAAGGACCAACCTGTTGCAATAATATAAAACCATTCGATTTATTTACTGAACTGATTCTACAAGAAATGTGTTATCACTGTCCCGGTTGAGGGGAAGAGTTGAGCGCCAACAAACAATCTTAATTTTCTTTTCCATGTTTAGATCCTAATGTTCAGTAGTTTACGTTTGTTGCCGTCTGTCACATATTTTTCGATTACTGTTCTTAGCCTCTATCAGACCGTAAATTATTCTTTTGAATTGTTTCCCACTTTGTTATCACGTTTTTTTTATAACTGACTATACGGTATTGGTTTTGTTTATTGTTCAGGACCGAACGACGAAGTATAATTATTGATTTTTGGGTTTTTGCTATAATCTTTTTTTGGCTTTTGTACTAGTTGTGTGTTTGACAGTAACATATGCTTCGATATCTAATATTTAAAACTGCTACTTAATGTCTATTTCTTTTCACAATAAACATAAACGAATAGGGCTTCCGTCGTATGTCGCCAGACGACCTGCTTTTCATGGTACTGACTATGATATTTTTTAATTTTATTACGTTTCAGTAAGAAAACCTTTCAGAGATGGAAGTATACATGATGGGAGCATCACCGTTACCAAACATCGGAATTAATAACAAAATGCTAGTCATGATGCTTACTAGTAACTTAGAAATATTTGGAGACCAGGATGGTATTGACAGAGAAAGGCACAAAAAAATTGATAACAAAAAATGCAGTAAACTATTGACCGTACTTAAATTTTTCATTCTGTTCTCGATATCGACCGTGGTGTTCATTTTTTATGTGTTTTTGTAACACCAAAGGTCAAGGCAATAGACATTACAAATCTAGGAATTTCATGCACGCAAGCATACACGAACACACACACACCGTTTTATTTATAATACATTTACAGTCATTAGAATTTTTTTTTAAGTTGAATGCTAGTTCAAGTTTTAGTCATGTTCCCTGTATATCATGTGTTTTGTGTAAAATTGCTTTCTTCTTACTTTCCAATAACTGGCACAATTTGAGATGGAGCTGAAAATGAAATATGTAAGTCAAAGATTATAGATCAAATACATACAGAATCTTTGTACTGTAAACAATCAATTTTGTTTTGTCTACGTTTGTTTTTTCGCTTCAAGTTATTTCTAGCCGACTTCGCTGGGATTTCTTTTTGCTTTTATTTTTCCTTTCTTGTCATAGGTATATAAAGGAAGATCCAAGTTTGGCATGGTCGTGACGATTCATTTTTGCGAAATTTAGCTATTTGCAAAAGTCGCGAAAATCAGTTGGTTAAAGCCTGAGTCACACATTCAGAATTTTCATTGCCGTCATTGATAGGACCATTCCCGATTAAAACTTGTCATAAGTCTGATCAAGATCCTGTTATTCGTGGCTGGATTTTCAAAAATTTGGTAACATTTTTAATTAATTTCGACCACGATGAGATTTTGTTCAAGAAGCCTATAAATTAAGCCGTCTCCTGCCATATTCATCCCGATTATCTGATTCTGATCCGATTTGAATTTTTGGCTAGGTAAAAAAAAACTACCCAATCTGTCCTAAAAGCAATGGACTCTCCCTAATGCGATCAGACAGAGATCAGACAGTGACAAGACAGTGGACAGACACAGATGATAGACATTTGACAAGATCTTGACGTAATCTGGACACAATCGGCAAAAAAACACACTGAAAAATGTTACAAGAAAAACATGATAGATATTTTCCGATTGAGTATTAATAAATAAATCTTAAAGGCATTCCTTTTTGAAATGTTAAGCAATAGTTTAAAAATGGGAACCGACTGCTGCTAATTTTTGACACAAGGAATGAATTCATAGTATCATATTCTAAATAAATATTTAATTTAAGGAAGATACCAACGGTATGGTCAAACTAGTTAGTCGAAACCGAACAGACAATTCCATGGCAAAGAACAAAAACCAGTCAAAATACAAACAACAGTCTAAAACACACAACATAGAAAACTAGAAACTTAGCAACACGACCCCAAACAAAAAATGGTTACAAGTTGTGTTATCTATATTACTTAGAACTTTTAACATTAGGAATTCTTTTACATTATTTGATCGCGAAAACATAAGCTTAACGCTGAATCATCAATTGCTTAAAGGTACATAACCACTTTTATTGCTATAAGTATCTCAAAAACAATGAAAAAATATTATACAGCTGCTCTAGATCTCTTATTAAGTTATAATTTTGAAAATGAACATGCTTAAGTTAACTGATATCTTTTTTTGCAGCACTTTACATATGCAGTCTGATTAAAATGCAGATCCTGGGTCCACGCTTTGCTTACAAGGATCTGAAAACGCCCCGTTCTACTTTCTGCTAAAAAGGTCTTTCGGGATCCTCTGGTTTTGTCGTAATGATACACACCTTCAAAAAATTGAAGCCTGAAATTTCATTGACTTGTGTTAGACTTATCAGAACAGAAAATAAAACAATCCGGATTTTTGTCAGATCCTTGTAAGTAAAGCTAGACACAGGATCTGTATTCTAATCAGATTGTGTATATATATTATGCTTAAGCAAAGTACCAGTAAAAGAAGAGCAAAAAAACCTAGGTATTACGTTTTATTCTGACTACTAGTAGTTTTGTATTTTTACAACTGAAAATCAGTAAAATAATCATATTATTGCTGACATCAATACAGTAGCATTGAAGTCTCTTTATTTTTTATGAAATATTTGCATTAACCTGCTTTCAGATTGGAAATTATCTTTTTTTAACCCTATCGACAGATATTAGTATTGTATCTTCTGGCCTAATCCCTTTTGTACAAATATTCTTAGATATTGTTTGTACAGTTGCGTAGCTTGTATTTAGGGAGTGAGACAACTGACTCTCTAAGTTTTATTTACCAAGAATAAAAATGAAATAGAAAGAACGATACAATCAAGCATTCCTCATTCTAAACTTACATATATATTGAAAGAACTTGTCAAACAAATGTTTTTTCTATCTTCTTAGATTAGTTCATTAATTTTCATCCTGTATAAAAATGCCCTCCTTTCCAAAAGGTGGACTAAGGTATATGTATAATATATATAAATAAATATTCGCAGACACATCCTGTCATAATAACAGGTGACATTGAATTTGTTGCACAATGTAGGGAGATGCCAAACTCTCTGCATGTTAACAAACTATTACAATAACTCTTTAAGGAGTTTGTAGGTGGCCTGTTTCAGGACAATAGTTCTGCCCATATCCAACACAGTTACTTTCGTTTTTAAGTGTTATCCTAAATATCCCGTTCATTGTTCTTGTCGAGCAATTTTACAGAAACTACATACTGTATTTATTGGTTATTCGTAATCGTCCTCAATATTCATTAAATATTTGCCATAGGACGTAAATCATTCAGTCAATCCTGAATAAAATTTACCAAATTACAAACCTGCACATGATCCTTCGCGAACAGTTATATCATCAACAGCAATGTCTCCCCTCACGCCATGACCAACGACAGCTACAAACATGATCTTATATGTAGAATTTCCCTGGATATCAACCTGAGCTTGATACCATTTGTTGCTAAGGGAACCTTTATGAGTCCAAAAAAGTTTTCCTGGTGTTGCGCTGCTTTTTAGATATACGTTCAGTGTTTTGATATTTAAGCCATACATGTGGTACCAAAATCTCAGACATTTTGTTGTAGTAGTAACAATGTTGGCACTGACAATCTGAGCTTTTTGATTGGGTTTGCGTGGAGCAGATACCTCAATGAAAATATAAAACCCAGCATCTGCATGTAATCAAAAGTGAATGGTATTTTGACTAACACGATTTAATAATAATTCATTAATTGTAAACAAGAAGACAATTTAAACAGAAGAACATAAATATACTTTGTTATTAAAATCATCGTTAGAACCACCTTATGTAATTAATAACCTAATAATTTCAATTGTAAAATTTTGTTTTCATTATATTTTTTTTTAAGTGCTTTGTAATAGGTATAAAAGGACTGGATAATGAAACTTTATATATGTAATCGGATTTAACAAACAAAAATAATTTGTAGCAAGAAATAAAAAGCCGAGATCTAAATCTTATTGATATGACTATTGTGACTGATTGAGCATTCCCACAAATAGACTTTAAATCAAATGTATAACTAGTATATGCACAACAACAAAAAATATTTATGGAATAACTCACCAGTGCCAGTAGTGTGATCAGTGATAGGACCTGTGTCAGAACTTGAGGTTCTACCTTTGTTACGTGTCCAATCAAAATCGTCTGAAATAGACTGGGACCAGTTACAGAGGTTCTGCTCAAAGTTACAGTCATATATGGATGATGCTGAAACGAAACATAAAATTCTATATTTACTGCTTCTCAAAAAAATGTTAAAAACTTTGAAAACATAAACACACTTAGTTATAGACATCATTACAATATTAACTGATCAACTATGAGACAAATGTGAGAAATATACATGGTAATGTCACGACGTCCCGACTTTCTTTTATAATAAATACTATTAATGTTTGATTGTAATAGATAGATAAATGCTAGTAATTATATTTGTACATGTAATAGGTTAATATAAGTTATAAATAAACTCATCATAAATAACAGGATTAAAATGTTGTACTCCAGACGCGCGTTTCGTCTACAAAAGACTCATCAGTGACACTCGATTCAAAACAAGTTAAAAAGGCCAAATACAGCACGAAGTTGCAGAGCATTGAAAACCAACAATTCCGAAAGGTTTTGCCAAATAAAGCTAAAGTAATATATTCCTTGGGTAGAACCCAATTTACCATTTCTAAGAAACAAAAGGATATATTTCAAACAATATATTTCATATTTGGTTTAAATTAAAGAACAATTTCGGAATAAACATCAGTAATTAAACAAAAAAGACATAAAAGACATCAACAAATCAACATATGGACTTAAACAATAAACAGTGTCTAGATCAGTTGTGAAGCTCTAGGTTGCTGCGATCTAAGGTAAAACCGGAAGTAAAACAAATCTACCTGAAGATGATGTCATCGTTGTTGCAACTGTTGGTACTGGTGCCAATGTACTGCTTGTCATAGTATCTACTTGTATCAATATAAACGATAATAATAAATCCATTAATCCGCATCGAACATGAACTTATGTTTATATTCAAATTTTTTGAACACATATTTTTTTTCAGAAAGAAAAATTTCCAAATCACACATTTATTTAATCATTGTGTCCTATTGAATAAAGTTCATTATTGTATAAATTTATTTTAAACCTATAGTTTTTAGACCATTACACCAAGAATAAATCAACTCATACAAATACTGAAAAATCTAATACTTTAAATAGCTTAGTGTTAATGAAAATTCATTCACAACTGTAAAACAATAGCGCCTTCATTTGCCTTCAATAAAATTAAATCTTCCCGCCAATAAGCATAATAGTACATCATATGGATGGTGTTAGTAAATAAAAAATACACGTATAAGCAATTAACGTTCCCTAATTCAGGTATTATAAAATTATAGTCAATACGCTTGTTCGCTGTGCTAATTGCCACTTCATATCTTGCCTCTCTTTTGATATTTTACAAGATATAAACATCTTAAAATAAATTGTATTTGTTATGCTTCTCATTCTTATCAGCCTATTTTTTATATTAGTACATTAAGTTAATTTTTATCACTTTTTTTTTATTTTACTGGTAATAAATTTAACACTTGGAATCAATTAAGTATAAAATACTGTACCAATAAATCTATAAAGTTTGAAACCCTAGCACAAAAAGATGTTTCTCAAATTTAATGATTTTTATCAAACAAAATATATTTCAACTGCAAATGTTTTACAAATTTTTTAAGATAATAATTTTTTTATTTTACTGGTAATAAATTTAACACTTGGAATCAATTAAGTATAAAATACTGTACCAATAAATCTATAAAGTTTGAAACCCTAGCACAAAAAGATGTTTCTCAAATTTAATGATTTTTATCAAACAAAATATATTTCAACTGCAAATGTTTCACAAATTTTTCAAGATAATAATTTTCTAAATACGAGAATCAATTTGGAATATTATATGATACCTATACCACTTTCATAAATTCTAAACACATAAGGCTTTTCTAATTTGTGATATTTTAGCAAAAGCGAAATTTTTACTGCAGATTTTATTTCCAACTTTCAAAGAAAATATACAAAAAAAATTGTACATAGAATTTATTTAGAATTTATTCTATACATAGAAGCAAATAGAAGCAATCTTAATTCATCATACATCATTATTAAAGTGTTAACGGACGAACAGACAAACAAACGATGAGAATGAATGAGTTATTACTAAAGGACGCAGCCATTTAGACGACAGAGCCCTAGTAAATGATTTAGTTATCATCTCTTTGCCCTTCCAGACCACTCAATTTCATCATCGGTTTGTAGTAGGGTTTACTTTTTGTGTAGTAGATAGTAAATTGATGAAAACGTCTTACGAAAATGCACATTTCTTGTTGATAATCATATTAAATATTTTTTTTAAACAACTGGACTAAGAACAAAGTGAATACTTTTAAAAGGAAAGCGGTATGTGTTTACACACACTGACAAAGCAGCTAACAAAGTTGTCTATGATTGGCGTTAGTACTTTATTAGTATTCCCAAAACTGAGATAACCAATTAGAGTACTGTCATAAGTACCGACAACTTCTACTGAAAATAATTTAAAGCTGCTGCGCTACACGAATACGTTTACCTCTTTGTATTAGCTTCATAAACTACAAAAGAAACCTTATAAATCCCGCTTAATATCTACATCCACAATATGTTTAACTTTTCTGACTTATGTTTTTGCAGGCGTTAAGGTCAAACACTGTGACAAATCCTATGTTAAGAGCAATATTACCTATTTTAGGAGTACGAATATCAACTTGAAAGTCATGGATCAGCAACGAGCCTTTGAAGATAAGTTTGCTTCCGTTGACAGTTTTTCTACGATTTAAACTACACTGTTACTTAATATCATTAAAAAAAATAATAATAAAATCGAGAATCGTTTTCGATGTAACTCTATCTGTTGAAGTCTTTACAATTTTTCAGTAATAAAACTTATAAAAAATACACAAATTCGAAATGCAAAGAAACGATTAAACCAATAACTTTTTGCTTGATGATATCTGTGTTCGTTTCGGAGATAACGTGTACCGATAATTGATTGGTGTGCGATGTGAACTAACTGGTCCTCTGTTATTGCCGATTTTGTTCTCACTGTAATGAATCCAAATTCATGACAAAGCTACATAAAAAACAAGAAAACACCACTTGATAGATATTTTTAGCAATACAGACAGATATTGAGATGCTATTTTTACTTTAATCAATCAAGATTTTTCAAAATATACAAATGGAATTTATCCACCTGAACCCATTCTTACTAAATCAAACATCAATTGTGACCGATTTTCCTTTTTTCTTAGATTTTAGACCTTGATATCACAATTTTCACACGGTACTTTCCATACCAAAAATAATGATAGTTGGACGACTTTTTTTCCCCCTTGGTGATGGTAATGATCCGTAAGATCTTTCCGGAAGTGTATATTTGCACTAAATAGAACGCCACATGCAGGGTGTTGGCTATGTTTGACACGGAGTGGCGGTTTCTCGAAGCGACTAAAAAACGACCAAGATAAGTAAAAGTATAAATTTTCCTTTTTGATAATTGGTACCACCAATTAGTAAAGTGCACGGAAATTAGCGACCCATAATCTGTTAACCAGCAAGCAGAAACAGACGTCCCCATTGCTCTGTTTTCTCAAACATCCCTCCTCAGTTTTCTTCAAATGCAAGTTTCGGGACAAAAATTACTTTTCGGCAAACTACATGTATTTCCGTGTATTTCATATATAAATGATTTCATATCATAGAATAAGATCTGATCCCAGCTTGCCAGGCAAACTTTCTTTGTTTTAATATTATTTTTTATCAAACTTTAATATGTCGTACGGGATGGCAGATTTCGAATCTCACGGGATGAGGCATTCGTTGAAATATGTGACCTATTGCCACTACTTGGCGTCCGACGTCTTCGTCATTGCCCCAAAACAATTCTCGTTTTCAAATAACTCTACTTTTCAGAAATCTCTTTACCAATTTTAATAGCTTCATGGTTACTGTCCAACTACCTACACTAGGGGGTGTGCATCATGTGTTTATAGTGGATATTCCAACTGTGTTTCATAAAAAAAGGATGCCAAAGTATATCAAATAGCTTGTATAAGCTCTCCTTTCCTATATCATACTTATATAAAAAAAAACCTCTCTGATTCAAACAAAAGGTTCAATGAAACTGCATCATCAAGATGATGGATATATTTTTTGACAACATATTTTTTCATGTTTAGAAAAAGTGCTTTTAACAACCAATCGATCGGCATTCCCGTTGGAACCAACTGTGCCCCTCTGCTTGACGAAATGTGCCTTTTTTTTTTTTATTTGGAAGATTTTATACAGAAGCTTCTTTAAATAAAAAAAAAATGAAAGAAACTGGCAATAAACTATGTAGATTATGTCCTTTCACTGAATAACTCAACGTTTGGTCACTTTGTTAAGCGCATCAATTACAAAGAACTTAAAATAAAGGATACCATAGAAACAGTTATGTGTACTTCATAAAAATGAGGCGGAAAATACCAAGGAGCATTCAAATCTTATAAGTTGAAAAAATGACAACGCCATGGCAAAAAAAAGAAAGAAAGGAAAACGAAAAAAAGACGAACAAATTTACAAAACACTACAACGAAAACTAAAGATTAAGTAACACGAACTTGGATTACATTTAAATTTGACAAAGAGGGTCAGTTAAAAGCTAAACATTACGACAAAAGAGATCAATTCAATTTCACTCATTTTGAACTGTCAAATTATGTGTAGGAACATTTCAGTAGCACCTGTAAGTGGAGTAAATATCTCCCAAAATAATACAATATTTCAGGTCCTGCGTTTCTTATCATGATTTTCAATTTGAAGTCATTTCAGGTCTCATAAAATCAGCTTTTAAAAATTGGCAAAAATTATAAAAAGGAATGAATGTTAATGGAAAACCCAAAGCTGCATATCAAGAATCTAAATAAAAACACAGGAAGATTAATCATAGTGAAAGTAGAATAGAGAGAGTAGATCAACAAACTATAAAACATACAAAAATATAAACAAATGGTCTGTGACATAATTTTATGTGTGTTATTTTCTCGCGAATAACACCGACTCTTAGTTGAATAATCATTTTTACGTGATGAACATTTAAAACAGCTTACAGTTAAAATAATATAGCATGCAAATCAAGAATTTGAATGCCTTGCTTGCAAACTCTGTTTAGTTGTTTGCTCAAACATTGTAATTAAGATTGATATCTGAATTCAATGAGTAGGCGGAGTATAACAGTCTGTTTACTATATACAAAGGTTTGATTGGTCAATGAATATCAAAATTGTTTCCAGTTAGGCACTTGAAAGATAAAAAGAAGCATGGGCTAAAAGGTGTACAGGAAAGGTAAAGTTAACCAATTTTAAAATGGATTAAAAACGTAAAGCATGGGCAGTTTTAATGTCATATTTTGATTCAAACTACAATGTTGACATGAAATATCATTTCTTGTTACTTAATACAGAGACATATCTACTAATTATGTGAAATTTTGCACTTTAAACAACTGTATATATTCTACAAGAAAAAAATATCTTCAGATCACTTTGTTGAAAACTTTTTGAGAAATCAGTGGCTTGCAATGCTCTAAGGGTCAATGCAGTAGTAGTAATAAAGGGAATCTGACCATCAATATTATAATGGCATTCTTCGACCATTACAATAATTGTATATTTACTAACTTTTAGTCAAAACAAAAATAGCAACACATTTTTTTAAAACTCATTCTCTTATTTGCTTAGTGCGTTAAAATTTGACAATAATGCAATAAGAAATGAAACCATATTCCTGTAACATAATTAATTATTTAATATGCAAGTTTCCATTTAGAAAATTAATGGTTCACAATTTTAAATTCCTATTTAAACTTTTATGACGATCTAATT